CATTGGAACTGGATATTACAAAGGCTTCACTATTTTAAGGGAATAGGTGCACCTGGCCTGAGCTGTGGGGTTTCAACTAAGAATTTAGAGGTGTGTGGGAGGAGATGAGCTGCGCTCGCTGCAGCTCTGTATTTCTCCCAGTTGCTCACTTTGCAGACTCTCTTCTCTGATTTTTAGTCATTTGGTGCTATATTCACATTTGGCTAATTTGTTAGAGGCTTTTGATACTGTAGGCTCATATGGTTCACTTTACTGTGAGGTACATCTATTTCTCCTCCACTCTTTCTCCTCCACTATTTCTCCTCCACTACTATTTCTCCTATTTCTCCTCCAGTACTGTGTTTTGCAATGTTGTATCCACAGAAAGGAATTTGAATTTAGATGTATGAATATGAGTTTCTCCCTTTCTTTAGCAGCTGTATGGGAGTTGAGGTTTTCTATGACCCTAAAAGTATTCAGATGTTTTGCTATTGTGCACCTAGACCTGCCTAGAAACTCAATGTGTGGAAGGTGAGAAGCAAGGTGATAAAGGTAAAAGAAAGGAAACAAAGGGAGAAATGCCGGAAGAAAATGAAAAATAAATAAAACAACGAAAAGGAAAAATAATGTAAAAAGGTAGGAAAAAAGGGACAAGGCTAGGCCTACCTCAGATGCACATGGATTCCGGAATGAGCAAGAGAAAGGATAGGTCGGAGACAAGAGACAGGACCTACCTACAGAGAGAGAGAGAGATAGAGACAGAAAGAAGACAGTACCACCCTATCCTGACTTTTTGTTGAATGCTGGGCTAGAAGGAGAGGTTTAGGGCAGACGCTTTCTGGTTAAAGGGGCAGGGCTAGACCCATCTCAGTCGCCCATGGATTCTGGCTTTTCACTGGGTGTTGGGATGGAAGGAGCAGTAGTTATTTTTCATAGTGGTATTTTTTTATATACATGTAATCACCGTTTATCATTACAGCTTATAAAATGAATTTTCCCAACATGAATACACTGTATATTAATCATACAAATTATCATCAACAAATAATTTTCCATCTTTGTGTCCCTTAAATGTTTTGTTTCTTTCTTTTTCCCCTTGATTCCCTTCCTCTCACCCTCACTATCTCTAGTATCTGCAGTTGTTCTCCATGCTTTTATATCTTCCAATCTTTCACATTTATTTTGATGTATTCTAGAAATAGTTTTGTGACCCCTGAGGCATTTCTTTCAGCATTCTAAATCTTCCATTTTTCCTTTCCCTTGTGAGTGTCATTCATTTTTCTATTAGTCATTTTACAACGAATCCTAATACTTTGGAAGTTTGTTATAAAACAGTGTTTATATTATCCTATTTTTTTTTTCAAGAGAGGTTTTTCGCCATAGGCCGCTTGCGCTCGCCAGACAGACAGAGAGAGACATAGAGACAGAAAGCGAGAAATCACCCCCCCACAGGGGATGGTCACGCTGCAATCCTTTCTCCTCTATTCTGCGCTTGGGATCTTGGGCACGCACGCACACGTGCCCGGCGTGAGTTTTAAGCCACCGGATCGGGGACACGAACCGCGGTTGACTACATGGGAGTCCAGCGACATAGCCATTATGCTAACTGCTGGTTCCCTATTTTATCCTATTTTATGAGAGGGAAGATACATAAATTCAGAGAATAAGATATAGAGGGATAGAGACCACAATTTTAATTATTTATACTAGATGAGTGGGATTATGAATATTTTTATTCTACTTTTTGTATTTTTAATTTTTTCTAAATAATGCTTTGCTTTTGCAATTGGTCAAAATTAAACTACAAAAGAAAAGGATATAAGATGTGGGACATATGTCTTTTTTTCTAAATTTTGTTATTCACCTTAAGCTACTTAATACCTTCATTACTGATTTAATTGTATTTTTATACCTATGCATAGAAACAAATTATATTTAGGTTTTATAATTAAATTTCCATTTTTGACATTTAAGTATGTCAGCTTTTTACTTTTACAGTCATCCAAGAATAGAAATGTTTGGCAAAATATTAACAGAAAACAAAACAAAGGAAATACTCTAGCTTTTTGAAAATTGACCAGAGTACTTAAAGATTTATAAAGGATTGTAAATTCATCACTTAAAAAGCTAGTGACCAGAATGGACCAGCAGGTGACGGAGTAGTTAAGGTGCTAGATTCTCACATGGGAGTCCTGCACCTTGAAAATTATGCCAGGTGTATGTATGTGTGCATGTCCAAAATCCCAAGAGGAGAATAGAGGAGAAAAGAGATTGCAGCATGGCCATCCCCCTGGGGTGGTGGGGGGGGGTGATTTCTCACTTTCCTTCTCTCTGTCCCTGTCTCTCTCTGGTTAAAAAAAAAAAATAGTGACTGGGAATATTTTTTTTTATAATCAGATCATCTTGTTGACCAGATTACTTTTGGCCAGGTCATAGAGTCCTCACAGAAAGCAAGCATTAACTTTTCATTTAGTCTTTTTTCTAATATGTGATAATAGTCAAAACCTAAAATAAAGATGAACCAAAAGGAAACAAAAATACTCGAAATCTTACTATCCAGAGATGATAATTGATAATGGTTTGTGTGGATATTTATGAAAGGAATCATACAGTAAATGCTGATTAACTAAAACAGCTTTCATTATATTACAATGTAATCATTAATATCTTCCCATGCAAATACTATTGGGTCATTGGAAAAGTCATGACGTATTTTTCTACGCAAAAATGCCTCATGTCTGTCCCAACAACCCAATAATTATTATAAAAAATTTTAAAATGACAAAATATACTGTTTCTTTAGCCCTACATCCTAGGATGTAGGAATCATGTGCAGTTAAGATATTTAATGTTGTATGTAAGAGAAGACCCAACTAAGAGTCTCCAAAACCAATAAGGAACTTAAAGTATGTCAGATAAGAAGCCCTGAGAGGGGGCAGTTCCAGAATTGGCTAATTCGTTGCCTTAACAACATTATTGGAAACCCAGGTGTTTTTGTTTGTTTCTCCATCTTATAATTCAGTAGACTGGCTTAGCCTCTGAGGCTGGTTTTCCTCATGGTCCCAAAATGACATCAGCAGTTCCAGGAATCACAAGCGAAGGAAAAGTTCCTGGCTAATGTCCCTCCATAAGCTCGGGAACCCTGCCTAGAACACTTCCTTCACCCAGTCCCCATCAGCATGTTCCTTCATGTCTTATTGACCAGAATGGTATCACATGCCCATGGCTAACCAATCACTTGGTAAAGGAAGTAAGATCACCATGATTAGTTTAGACCAGTGAAGATTTACCTCTTGAGGTTTAGGTGGAGGCCACTCATGAAGAACATGTGCGTTGGAAAGGAATAGCCAAAAAAAGACTTGGGAGTGGGGGGATGGTCAGGTAAGGAGTGGACAGTTTGAGACCATAGGGCATTTAGATTCTTTGCCCAGTTACTTAGCAGTTTTAACACAGTTACAAGTTTTTAATTTTTTATTTTTATTTTTTTGCAATGGGGTACATGTGCTTATCTGAGACAGATACAGAGATAGGAAGAGGGAAAGTGAGAAATCATCCCCCAGAAGAAGCAGCCAATCAGTACTCTCTTCTCCATTCTCCTCTCGGGATTTTGGGCACACATACACACATGTCCAGTGTGTTTTTCAAGCCTCTGACTCTAAGACTCAAACTGTGCAGCCAGTCATGTGGGATTCACCCACCTGAACCACCATTCCACCTGCTGGCCCCCGTTGCTGCAGTTTATAATAGAAGTAATATTATCTGATACATGGGTGCTTTTTTATGTGCTAGAAACTAGGGAGGTACTTTATGTAAATTCTCATTTAATTCTGACAATTTATAAGACACAGATTGTTACGCCTGTTTCAACCAAGAAGAAATGAGACTCAGTGAGGTTAAGTGCCTTTACCCAAGATAAAAACAGAAAAACAAACACACACATACACATAGAAACAAAAACAACAACCAGAAAAACCTGGTAGGTGGAGTAGCTTGCCTGGTTGTCTCCTGGACACTAGAGGAACATACATTGGTGAGGTAGAGAAGTTCCCCTCCTGTGTCCTTCCTCAGCTGGTGAGCATCAGGTCAGATTCCCATGTCCAGACAAGAGGAGAAACTCAACAAGGAATGTTTTAGTCATGTCCTCCTAATCTGCTGCTTTGGGAAAACTTCTAACATAAACAGTTACCATTGCTTTATTATGAATTTCTGTTTACACACTTGGATCTGATGGCCATAGGCCCTTAAGAGTAGGAGATTTATCTTTGAACTCCCCTGTATCAGTTATATCTGATTTACTAAATGTTTATCAAATGAGTGAAAATGAAGTAATAATCCCAGGTTGGTTTATAACTTGCTGAATGACTGAGACTAGCTGTTTTACTTTTGGGGGCCTGCTTTTCTTCATGTGGGCATCCTTCAAAAAGTTTGTGAAAAGTGGAATTAAAGTAAGAATTATTTGGGGGCAAAGAGAAAAATTTTTTTCCATAATATGCATTTCCATGAATTTTTCGAACACCCTTTGTGTAAGAGGAATGTCATTGCCAGCCTATACAAGATGAATTGAGACACAAAGAGCCGCTAAACAATAGCCAGACACCTATTTTGAAGGCCCCCGCTTTCAGTGTTTTCATTTCTGATCTCACTTCTTATGTCAGTGCCTTCAGCGATCATGGAGCAACCATCAGCTTCCCTGAGCGAACGCAGGACTTGCTCCTTCACTGAAGCTACAGAAAAGTGCACAGTGCTTGTTTTGGCTCCTGGCCTTCGTGCACAAACGGGCTTTGTATTGGGTCATCGGAAATGGGTAAAGATGCATCATGACTTTTCTGGCCACCCAGTATGTGCTGAAGGATGTTTCTTCCCTGAAATCATTTTTATTTTCTCTGGATAGTTATCATCCCATCAAGAGATTTACTACAAGGACATTAAGACCTTGTCAGCACTTGAGTTCAGTTTCCTAACTGTGGGACTTCGACACTGATCTGAAATGTCTGACTTGAGTTTTCCATTTTCCTTCCCAGTCGTCTATCAATGATGCTGCAGAATTCAAAGTAGTAGCTGATGCCATGAAAGTAATCGGTTTCAAACCTGAGGAGATTCAAACAGTGTATAAAATTCTGGCTGCTATTCTTCACTTGGTGAGTAGGGACACTCCTTAGAATAGAGTGCCTCCCTGTGGAGATAAGATGTTCTTTCCAAAGGTTTTGTCTTTCCCCTGTAGATTTAAAAGGTTTAGAGAAAATTATGCACACATTTTGAAGAAATTATTATGTTTGCACTTCTCTCCATCATTTTATAATATTGTAAGGGGGTTTCCAAACCATTGTAGGTTTTAGACTACGGCTTCAGTTAATTGTCTTACTTTAAAAGTGATTAATTACAAGGATAAAAGAATTCACCCATAAATTGGTATAAACTACTAATGGTATAAACTTGTAGTGGCATTTGAAGCATACAATAATAGATGATTAGAATTGGATTTTTGTTTGGTCATTTTGCAGGTTGGGACATGAGTCCTGAGAGGTTGTATGACTGCCTTAAAGGCACAGCCAGCTCATTCCTAGCCATCCCTGTAGGGCAGTCCAGCAGGCGAATGGTCCCATTGTTTTCCATACCAAATTTACAAGAATTGTGCATTGGGCTTATTTTTATTTATTTGAAGAATTATTTATTTATTTTTATTATTGTTTTTTAAAATTTGACCAGAGAAAGAGAGAGAAAAGGAAAGTGAGAAAGTAAGCTACCATGTCTGGGACTCAAACCACAGTTGGCCCTGTGGGAGTCCAGTACCTTAACCACCATGCCACCTGCTGGCCTCAGATGTCTTTCATTACCATTTATGTAATTAAGATGTTTAAATATAATGAACATGTAACCTTAGGATTCAAATCTAGAATAAAAGTTAGTTTTCACTTTAATGTAACAAGATTTAACTTGGAATTGAGTCAGAATGCTCAGGATCTATATAAAAAACATTGCATAACAATATAAATGATGAATGAATTTTTCTGACTAGACTTTAGTATTGTAAATCATCTCATCTCTTTGAACTCATGTATAAATACAGTGCAATAATTCCTCTCAGAATCCAAATGGGAATTTTGTTTCTAACTTAACCTAATGATTCAGGAATTTACCTGAAACAATAAACCTGTAAGAAAATCAAATAAAATGTGTTAAGAAGAGTAATAAAGTAGTAACAGTCGTAAAAGCTGTAGTACTTTAAGACTTGTTACACAAATTCAGCACCAGGTCAACAGATGAATCAGAAGATTAGTTGATATGTTGGTAGATGGTTAATAAATATTTATTGCTTATTGAATATAAGTAGACTCAAACACTTGAGGAAACTGAATATATTAAAAAAAGGTGACACTTCAAATCAGGAGAAAGAGATAAACTATTCACTAAATGGTGCTGCAGCAACTAACTAGTCAACTGAAAAAATAAAAGTAGATTCTCCCTTTACACCACATGCCAAAATAAATTTTAGGTGGCTTAGAAGTTTAAGGAGGGGAGCTAGTAGGTGGCATGGTGGTTTAAGGCTTCAGACTTTCATATGGCCAACCACAGTATGAGTCCTGGAGTTGTTGACTTGCTTTCTCACTTCCCACCCCTCGCTGTCTCTTTCTGGTGCCTGCATAGCAAAATTTAAAAAATAATAATAATTAAATTAAATTAAATTAAATAATTATTTAAGAAAAAAGTTTAAGGAGGTCTAGCCAATGCTGGATCCCACATGGCCAACTGTGCAGTTTGAGTCCTGGACCCAGTGGCCTGAGAAACATGCCAGGCATGTGATTCCCTCATCCCAAAGGGAGGGAAAGATGGAAGAGAAGGGAATGTGGTTTGACCATTCCCCATGGAGGGTGCTTTCTGACTTTCCCTCTCTCTGTCTCTGGAGAGCACATGCACCCTCTAGCAAAGAAAAAAAAATTAAGGAAATAAACTATGAAAGTGTTAGAAGAAAACCTCAAATACTCATAAAACCTTTGGAGTAAAATTTGGCTAGTATGACACCAAAGAAAGAAATATGAAGGCAAAAAGTTCACTTATTTGACTACATAAAAATGTAGACTTTTTTAAAGAATTATTATATTTAACTTTATTTATTTATTTTTAATTTGACCAGAGAGGAATAGAGTAAGACAGAGCAAGAGAGAGAGAAAGTGAGAAAGCAAGCTGCCAGGTCAAGGACTTGAACCACGGTCGGCCATATGGGAGTTCAGCACCCTTAACCACCACACCACCTGCTGGCCCAAAAATGTACTTTTCAATCTATCAGAAAATATAGTGAAAATGAGCCTAGCCTGTGCAGTGTAACTGTAACAGCATACCAGACAGCAGAACTGGAAACCACATGCTGACCATGGTTCAGGTCCCCAGCCTGGTTGACCTGAAGATACACAAGACATACATGCACATGCCCAGGATGTTTGATGGGCTGGAGGTAAGGGATTGTGGCAAGAATGAGCCCTGTGGAGGATGTGTCTCATTGTCATGCATGCTATATCATGAACAAACAAAAGACTACACATACTCTGAAAATGGAAAGGTTAGTATCTGGAGAAAGGAGGAAAACGATAGATGAAGTGCTAGGTTTTTAAATGTTGGGATATTTTAATATACTTAGAAAAATAGGTACAAACAAAATCACTTGAGTTACAGTTTACTTTGCCAAGTATATTTCAAAAATAATGTCTCAAAATCTCATTGGAAATTCTGTGTCTTGTTTTTCACTCTTGGTATAGGGAAATATAAAATTTATAGTAGATGGTGACACGCCTCTTATTGAGAACGACAAGGTCGTATCCATCCTAGCAGAGTTGCTTTCTACCAAGACAGACATGGTTGAGAAAGCCCTGCTTTACCGCACTGTGGCCACAGGCCGTGACATCATCGACAAGCAGCACACGGAACAAGAAGCCAGCTACGGCAGAGACGCCTTTGCCAAGGTGAGATTTCTAACCCACGTTCTGTTGGCCGTGGTGGTGGCGGTCTCTGGTGCCATTTGAATGATGTCTTGTGAGGATGTACTCAGATATTCCTTGGTTGTTGATTAAGGCTTTAAGAAACCATAATGATACTTTCTAACCCCCCTGACTGAGCATCAGTGCCAGGGAAGGGACTGAGAAGAGCAGAAGCAGGTGCTCGTGGAGCTGCAGATGCTCCCTTCCTAGGCTCCTCACTGGCCCTGCCTGTTAGCAGCCCTTCTTGAGCTCTTCTCACTCAATGACTCTTTGCAGGAGCCCCCCAAGTCAACTCACTGCCTCTGTCTCTCTCCAGCAAGTGCATGAACCCTAAGGTAAAAAAGTAAAAAAAAAAAAAAAAATCTACT